CCTTAGCTTAATGAACGCTGATCATAATTTAACTCTCTAATTTGATGGCTTAGGATGCATTCTGTCCCATGTCTGAACATCCATGGCGTGATGTCCATCACTGCTTATTCCTTGATAAATAGGACTTCCATTGCTTGGAATTGCTTCCTGCAGGTTTCTACTGCTGCTAATTTCTTCTATTTTTGATTCAGTTTTCTCTACTGAAAACAGGTCTGTCCACCCAAAATAGCTTTAGACAGTACTGAAATAAGCAGAAGATGAAGAAAAAAGCTGAAGAGCTTCATTTGAGGAGTTTGGAATTAGAGAAAGAGTTTAAGGGCTGTGAATCGTATGAACTGATCTTAAGAACGGTCTTTTTATAGTGCTTAAGGAAGTGGGTGATCAACAGACTGAAATGTATGAAGCAGTGAAGTCACTTAGTATTTAATTGTATTAATGGTTATATTTTTTTCAACTAAGATTTCGTTTGGGACAATTTTTTTGCTGCTTTCTAAATTGATTTTTTACTGTAAAAATTTTTTGATTAGAAAACCGTTTTAGAAAGTAGTAAGAAAGCTATTTCAAATGAAGTCTAAGTAGTATTATAGTGGAATATTTGGTGTGATTAGCAGGAGAAATAATTTCAAACCACTGAGTTAATGCCCCATAATTGAGCTAAACTTTTCATTCCATTTAATTAATGCTATACAGATGGCATTGTTTGTGGGATTTCCTTTTTGTTGTTGGTTTTAACTATACTTGATTATGTTAACGACTTATTTTAACCTTTTTTTTTTGGGTTAACTGAAGATTATTTTTTCTCTCGAACTAATCTGATAGCTCTGTTTAATTTGTTGGAATTGAGTTGTAATTAGTTGTCACCCGCTTGATGGTTGAGGACAAATTGAGTAAAATATATATATTTTTTTTGTTGGGCAACTTACATATAAGAAATAGGGTTTATAAATTTTAGATGCATAGTTCTCAAATCTTCCAAATAAAATAAAAATTAACACTCTTGTCACCCCACTACCGATCTCGTTGCCTTCTTTCGTTGTTGGTCCCACGGGTAGTCGCTAAGCATTTGCCCTTATTTTTCCTCTGTCATCTCATTTTCTTCTATCAAGGATATTCATAGGATCGACGAGGTGTAAGAGAAAGCATCAACATGCCCAGTATTGATGAGATTCGACAAATCTTACAAGCGAGGGCACCAACAGGTCTAAGTGTAGTACCCGATGAACTGGCATGTGAGGTCATCGACAAGTCAGGCGATGGGCAACTATATGAACTTTTTTTCTTCTATGTTCCATCTATTAAGAAAGTAAATTTAGAAATTTTGTTCGTCCCGAACATCATAACTAATGAGCCAATAATGAGTGGCTTAATAAATTGGGCTTAATAAATTGAAAATGATCACTTACTCATAAATATGAGTCGTATAAAAAACAACTCTATCATAAATATGTAATGAAACAATTTTATATATATTTCTATATTCAATATAGTAATTAGCAAACAAAATTGAGGAGATATGTGATATTTTTCCTATTTTGTTAAGAAGAAAAAGCAAAATATATATATATATATATATATATATAGTATTTGAATGATTTTTTTTAGATGATATATGTAAATTAGATATATAAGCAATAAGAGTATTTGAATTATTACTCCAAAAAAAATAAAAAAGAAATCTAACCATCACAAATCAACTTTCTTTTCTGCATTAATTAAGATTTTGTGGTGATAATTACGAGTCCAAGCAAATAATTTGAATTCCCACAATCTTTTGAATTTCAAATCTAAAACTTAGATTTCAACTCTTATTATGGGGGTTTTTAAGTTTGCCAGGAAAAAAATGCAGATTAAAATGAATGTAGTATAAAAAGAGTATAATGGAATTGAAATATTGAAGTTATTTGAAATTATTTATTTATTTATAAATAAAATAAATGTAATATAAAATAAAATAACTGTCATGATTGGTGCCCAAAGGCAGCAGCGGTGGTAGCAATGGTTGTTACAATCATAAGAGGAAGTGGCCTGTGAGGGGCACCAGTCACCAGTGGCACGCGGAGGGAGACAGTGGGCGGCAGCAAGTGGGAGGTTGTCATCTACTTTAGGTGACTGGTAGCGACTACTGATAGATGGCGATAATGCAATCAATTTGCAGTGGAAAAAGAATTTAGTAAAATATTCTTTATATATATTTTTTCACCTTCACATCCAATACTAATTATTGAAGTAGGTGCATATTATATGAGTGATTGATAGATGGATGTATCACAAATATGTATATAATAATTGACTCATCAATGATTAAATAATGATAAAATGTATATGATGATATATAATGATTTGTTGGATGTTTTGCAATTTATTCAAGTACTTGCAAAATTATTTTGAGAATATTTTGTACTATGCTTGCTTGAAATCAATTGCAATCTGTTTGATGAGATAAAAAAAGACAAATTAAAGAATGAAAATAAAGAGCTTAGAATGAATGTTTTTAAAGAGTTTCAGCATTTTAATTTAGGCTTAGTTTGGGAAGGTTTCTTTTTTATTTTTTAAGACAACTTTTTAGTATAAAATTTTCTAATTCAAAAAATTTTTATATTAAAAAGTTGTTTTAGAAAGCAATAAGAAAGTTGTGTCAAACGAAGCCTTAGTTTAAGATTTAATGAATGATTAACATGCTAAAACCTAAACTTGATAAATATTTCTTATAGTTGAATCTATATTCTAATTATGAAAACAAACACTCAATGTTAAGAATTTTTAATGATATAGGATTTAATTATATTTTTTTATTAAACACCTAAATTGTTAAATGGCCTGACATATTTTTATTGTGTTTTTCCTATTTGATCACATAAATAGTCCTAATTAATGCTTTCTTCTGCTATAATCTCTTAAGAAATATCAAAGAAACATCTTTGGCTTGAAGTTCTATATTTTAAAGAGGTACATAGTACTCTCATCTCTCCTTGATGTTAATTGATATAACGCATTCTCTCTTAATCCCTTATAATTTATTTTTTGTATTTTATTTTGTGCTTTCTATAACTTCTTGGGAGTAAACAAAGAATGAAGCAAGCAAGAAAATAAAGAGTGAATAAATAACACTGAAATTTAACGTGAATTTTTTTTTAAAAGTGGGTAAATACCATGAAGTCATACCAAGTCAAGAAATCTATTATAAAAAATATGAGAAATTGGACAGATCTTACTCTCTCCTTCTCTCGCAGCCTTCACACCCTTTCATGCACACACATATCTTATGACCTCCTAGTGAGCTCTTATCAAGCTGATCAATTGACATAAATGAGATATAAGTCAATAGTACAAGGCAATTGATCGTCACGATCATATTCCACAAAGAACTAACATCTCTCTCTATTATTCGATCTACATTAGCATTATGATTTTCCAACATCATCATATGTTATATGTACCTATTAGATTTTGGTTTACATGTTTAAATGATGACTTATGCATAGAATGTTACTATACTTCTATGATAGAATTTTCATTACACTTAATATTTTTGTACCCTCTTTAAGCGTTATAGATCTTTTGTATCATTGTGGACACATATTTTAGATTATTATTATTATTATTATTTATTTTATTTTGTTTATATAAAAAATAAAAGCTGAGAGGTAGTTCTGAACTGTCACAATTCAAGCTTATATTTTCATTTTATGAACATAAATATTAACATAGCAACATTACGATGTCAACAACTTTTGCATTTTCATAATAATTTTCAACTATTTAAAAAACATTTATGTTGCACAATATTATACATTTTTCTTATTTAATTATATTTTAAAAATATACATTAAAATTTTACATAATTACCATTTTAATCCTATTCAATATTTTATAATAATTTTTAAAATTTTTGTTCAGCTCCATAGCTTGATCAGCTTTCTAACTAGTGGTGATCTAAGAGTTCATTTAAGACCGTTTTTTTTTTGCTTTCTAAAGCATTTTTTTAATACAAAAATTTGTATTAAAAAATGCTTAGAAAAAGAGTGAAAAAACGAATCCATGAGCTGCATGTTGGGTGGGGCAATATTGTTCCTACAATTCGTTCTTACAGACAAAATCAATGGAGACAGACAGGTAGCTTATCTTAATTTCTGACTGAAAAAACTACAGATCAAAAGCAAAACGTCTCATAGAAAATTTACGAATCAAAATCAAAATATCAGTTTTGCAGAGAAGATTGACAATCACATCACAAATTTTTACAAAGAGAAATTTTTTTTTTTCTTTCTCAGCTGGAGAATCTTACGGATTAGGCAGAAAGACAACATCAGTGATGTTGATAGACTGATTGTCTAACACAAAAAATCCACTTAGTAGCGATGAGATCTACCAACCACACGAAAAATACAAATAACAATCTCACATAAAGAAAAACCAAATATCAAAAATAAAAAATAAAACCAGGATACCTAAGAGGCTATTTAAGATCACTTATTATTTTTATTTTTTGAAAATATATTTGATTTATCTTTTTTAAGTATTAAATTAATTTCAACAATAAAAAAAAAAATCAATTTTTTTTTATGTCCTTAATAGTTTTTTTAAATTAACAAAGCATATTATATAGGTAAGAAAGCCATACATGGCCCCAGTTTCCACTATCTTGCTTGCATCCAGCAATATATTTGAACCTCACAAAAGGAATTTGGCAAACCAGCAGCTTTAAGCTATGTATCTGCGTACCTTGCAAAAATGATATACACATAATACCACTGGCTGCATATATAGCATGCAACGCATATAATTAAGCAAGGGCAAGATTTGAGCTATAGACTACAGAAAGCTAGGAAACTTAGCTAATAGCTAAAAAACATTCTGTCAAATGCATGCCTTGCAACAACCACCACTAAGGTTTCATTTGAGACCGCTTTCTTACTACTTTTTAAATCAACTTTTTAGTTAAAAAATTATAATTTTTATACAAGAAAGCAGCTTTAAGAAGCAGCAAAAAAGAAGTCCCAAACAAGAAGAGTTAATCACATCGAATATAATAAGAGATGGATTGATCAACAGAGCTCATATGTTCAAATAATCTAACAAGAAGTTCCATACAGTTTCATCAACCAACAAAATCATGAAGCAGATGGCCACCAATATCCTTCCCAAATCGCCTATCTTGACCCTCAAATGCACCAACAACATACGCATCATTGCAATCTTCAAGGCCGAATCTCCGAGCGACATTCAAAGGAAGTGGCTCAGGCAAGCGAACGCCACTGTTCTGATGAAGACCAAGCGTAAGAGAAACAGTACTGCCAGTGTTCCTTCCGACATCTTGACTAGAGAAATCATTGTAAGCATACTTGTATGGTTCTTCAATGTGATGTGCGATGTAATCAAGTTCATTGTTCAAGGATCTTGAAGAAGGGGGGTTTTGGTTCCTTTGAATGAAGCTGTTTTGAGGTGGTTGGGTACTTGAGGAAGTTGCTGTGGATGAAGAAGGTTTTGAAGCTTGCTTGTTGTGAGAAATTTGGTTTTTATTATTAGGTACTACTGTTTTCTGCTGTTGCCTCATCTCAAGGTTGTGTATTTCTTCAACCATTGGTTTCCATAGTCTAACTCTTGCATTAATAAACCAGTTAGAGACCTGGTGTGAAACAAGGAATTATATATAAATATATAGTTATTTAAACATATTAATTAACGAGCCATTATACTTTAAAGAATTTGAAGAAACTTTTATGTACCTGGTTTCTTGTCAAACCTGCTTGCTTGGCAAGCATTTGTTTGTCCACATCTGTGGGATACCTGCAGCATAGAAATCAACCAAGTGCATTGTAACTCTTCTTAATTAATGAGTTTAACGAAATCATATTAGTTTTATGCCGAAATAAAAGACTAAGGATATAACCAGTCTAAGATGAGTATCTTGCCACACTTGTCCAATTCCCTCCCAATTTTTTTGTAACTTTCGTGCTCAGAGCACATGATGATGTTTATTGAAGGATAGAAATAATATCACATATGTTTACTTAAAGATAAGATGAGCACAAGACCAGCCAAAGAATTCCTTCACACAATGTCAACTATTTGATATCAACTGCACATTGTATTATAGGTGTATATATGTAAATTGGGTAGAACACAATTTCTTAGAAATCAAATACTACAGTTCATGAGTAGCTCTTTGGTTCACAAACCAAATGTGCATGAACATGGAAAAATTATTTTGTGCAGTCACCGGATGACATCCGGAGGTAAATCAGAGCGCGCCACATCATGTTTTTGCTGTATACCGGGTGATATAGCGCGCTCTTATTTGCCTTCGGACGGTCCGATGACGGCATAGAATAATTTCTCTAGTACAATCGGGCTTGATGCCATGCAATGAAGGGAGAAACTAGTATGACGCCATTTCGAGAATAAGCAAATGCAATCAAGACATATAAACTTATAAACCATTAGATATATTCTAAGGCAAAAGAAAATCCTTCGAAAAAATCAAACTCACGGGTGCAAGAAGTGTTCAAATAGCCATGCCCGAAGTACGGCTATGGCGCGCTCAGGGAGTCCCCTTTGCGGACGCCAAGCATGTGGCTGCCTATAAGAATCAAGGTTGTTCCCATCTTGTTGTAAACACATACCAAAGCCAGAGATCTCCGTTCGACTAAAGCCTTCCTTCCCTGAATCCTTGTTGGTAAGACTAAGTTGATTAGTCATCATATTCTTCAAACACCTGAAGTGCTTAGACATGGAATTGAGTGCCAGAGAAACATAAGGGGCAGCAGTACGCAACCCGGCTACCATTTCAAATGATGTGATAACATTTTGCACCTGCTGATAATATATCCTATACCTTCTACAGACCTGATCAGAAGATATAAAATAAAGGGAAAAATGAAAAATATAATTATGTAGGCCTTCGTTGTAAAACAAAAATCTTATACTTAACATTAAGAAATTAAAAAATCAGCTTCGTTAGACTTAAACCAGCTAGATTTATGAATCCTCACACTCCATTCATTCATGTTAATCCTTGCATGAGATGTTATAAACATACTCCAAAAATCTTTTTTCACTGTTTTTAGATATGTTAAATTTCATTAGTTCATTTTCTTTCCTAATCCTTCTTATATGTCACTTATGTGTCATTTAAGCTAATTCATTTGGAACAACTTTTTTATTGCTTTCTAAAACTAGACTTTCTAGAACAAAAATTTTTTGAACTAGAAATTTTTGTATTAGAAAACTATTTTAGAAAGCAGTAAAAAAGCCATCCAAACGAAGCCTTAGGGACGGCTTTCTTACTTACTGCTTAAAACCCGGCCAACATTTGATCCATACAACATAGCTGTCCTAAATACAATTTTACTAAATTTAAAATAAACGTCTCCCTAATATTCTCATACAAGCTTATCTAACAATAGTTTATAGCATATTTCATATAGCAAGATCAAGTAAATAACGATACTAATTGAAGTATCAACAATGGAATGTAAATTAATTAAAAATAAGCATTTGAAATTAAAAATTCCCAAAGAAAATTAATAAAAAGGTGAACAATTAGCTCAAGCAAACATACAATAATAAACCTAAAACTTAATGAATAATACTGTATAAAATTTTCAGAGATGCATATTGAATGCTTCTCATAAAAGTGGGACTCTACAACAGAAACCTTAAAGCAATTCCCTCTGATAATTCATGACCTTAGTTCAACTAATTGAAACATCCCGTAATCAGATTATAAAAGCGCATTAAATAATCAAATTACTAATCATGTTTACTACTATGAAATCATGGACTAATTAAGAAACTGAGATAAAAGTAAAATAAGAAACCTCATCAATCATGGATATAAGCCTTGCTTTCTTCCACTGTTGGTCGTCCGGCCCCACCTCATAATCCAGCGACATAACTTCCGGGGGATCTCCGGCGAGCGGTTCGCCTCCAGCAACCTCGCAAACCTCCTCCAAAAGCTGGCGAGCGGGGTCCAAAAACCTGGACCGGTTCAGAACGGCGGCGTAACCCGTGAACGGACCGAGCGGAAGAAGCGCGGCAGCCGGAGATAGCGTTAGAGAGAAGCTGCCTTGCGGCGGCTGGATCTGAAGTAAGCCGGTTCCGGCGGTGAAGTGGGCCATAGGGTTGGGAAGGGAGGAGCTGTCGGTCTGGAAGCGGAGTTTTTCTCTCCTGCTGTGTTGAGGAACGTGATAGAGGAGGTTATGGTGGTGGAGAAGGAATGGATCATCAGAAGATGACATTTTTTTTTAATTAATTAAACTGTGAAAGCTGATTTATTTTCCCCCCCTTTATTCTCTCAAGTGGAGTGAGAAAGCGAAAGGAGGGGGGAGACGGTACAGAGATCCAGCTGCTCTTTCTCTCTCGCTCTCTGTATGCGTCTGTGGGATCACCTTAGAGAGAGAGAGAGAAGAGAGAGGTGGGTTAAAGTGAAGTTGAAGTCCAAGGTTATGATAAGAGATAGAGAGAGAGACCGGGGGAACCGGGAGGCCCCGGTGGACGGAAAGGGGGTGTTTCAGCAGTCAGGACTCAGGACTGAGGCAGTAAATGCACGAAAAAACATATCTTGCTATCACAGGAAGTAAATCAGAGGAAGTAAATCAGACAGGGGCTACTTCATTTGTAAAGGTAATTCTTATTTTTGAGCAGAAGTTAGCTAATTATTTGGGCAAGAAGAGCCTACGTACAAAAAATATAAATATGAATCTTAGTTAATCGCTCGGCAAATGTTGATGTATTAGATGTTTCAATCACAATATGGAAGGCATTAACGTTTAATTTGAGATGATTTTTTTACTATTTTTAAAGCAGATTTTTTTAAAAAAAAATAATAATAATTTTATATTAGAAATCTGTTTTTTAAAAGCAAGAAAAAAGTTATCCTAAAAGAAACCCAAAAAATAATTGTTGAAGCTTATTAATAGTTAAGCTTACAGTGGCACATCTAAATGGGCATTGTCATACAGTGTTGGTGATATATATATATATGGTATGATAATCAGAAAAACTTTTGTTTATTTAAGCAGTGTCTTAAAGCTTGCTTAAGTTTTTTTTAATTCAAGCATTATCCTTGGACATTTAATATAATAATAGGGTCTATTTGTCAAACACTCAAATGATGTAGAAATTTAATTTTGATTTGGAGTAACTTTTTTACTGCTTTATTTTTCAGACTGCAATCATACTTTCTTTTTTGTCATAACTTTTTTTCTGCTTTCTATATTAGCTTTAAAAAATAACTTTACCTACAACGGTTGTATTAAACAGTAAGAAAATCATTCAAAGTAAAAATGTAGATGTTCCTATAACTACAAGTAAATTTTAGTAGTTCTAATAATTATGGCCATATAGCCAAATTCGAAAATAATACTACTTTGAACCAAATTGGAATGTGAAAACAACTTGGATTTTGGTTGTTTCTCATTTTGAAGTTAGCTAGTTCTCTTATATGTTCATTAATTTGTTTATTAATTTATGATTTTAATCAACTACTAGGTGGAATGAGAGTAGAGTGGGACTAGTTCCACTTGAAAATATATATGATAATATAAAGATGAACTTATGACTGACATTCAAGCCTAGCATAACTTAGAAATGAGTTGTTTATCACTTTAGTTTTATAAGAAAGGTCTATGACAAATTTCAATCTTGATTTTTATTAATAGATGAAATGTGAATCGTTTTTGGAGTATATTTTATTTCGATTGTCAAAAATATATTCATTTTGTTTTAATACTTATAATACAAATAAAAAAAAAAAAGCTAGAAAAAAAAACCATGATTTAACGTGGAAAAATTCAAAGTTGGGAATAAACAACGAAGCTATATCATATCAATAAATTAACTATAAAAATGGAAGAAATTATACAAATTTGTCTCAAACTCTCTTCTTATCTATATTCACTTCTCACATCATTCTACATTATGAACATATAAAGAGACTCATTGTTAGTACAACAAATGACATAACCTTTCAAGTGAAATAAGAAGAACGAGAAAGAAAAACTGCTAAGTCCGATTCGCAATGTGGAGTTGTTGTACCTATAGCATATGAACGCTAACTCTTATGTCTCGAGTGTCATGGCATTGTGAATTATAATGTTGTTGTACTAAGTTAACAACGTTGTGACACTGTGCTTTCTGTCTAGAGGAATTCCACAACACACTGATGCTAGATTTATAGCATCATGATGTTATACAAAATATAGAGTTGGAATCATAACTAAAAGGAAATGAAGTCCCTTAATAAAAAAATTGAAGTTGACATTCATCTTTTGCAAATCAATGTGCTTTTAGTTGAAAACATTATAAGGTGTGTCATTTATTAAAAATATAGATATTAATATATTTTGATTAAAATTTGATATTTAAGTCACTAAACTTATTCTTAAATTAATATAGTATCAATTATTTATATACTACTCTCATTTTTAAAATAATTTCAAAAACTTTTAACTCGTATCCTAAACAAAATTATATTCATATATTTTGACGTAATTTTTGGTAGGGCAATAAACAAACCAAGCAAAGTCGAGCAAGTGCTTGTTCATATTTGAGTTCGTTTATTATCAACTTGTTGAAGCTCAGTTTGAGCTCGATTCGAGCTTTTATATTTGTGTTCAAGCTTGATTCATTTAAATTAAATGATATTTATGTTTGGTTCATGTTCAATTCGTTTCGTATGTATTGAGCTTTAAACAAATGAGCTTTATCAAGTTGTAAATGAGCTCTACTTTAAAATATTAATTGGCTTAACAAACAAGCCTATCAAGCTAATTAGCAAACAACTATATTTAACATGTTCACAAAAATATCTAGCAAGCATTTTTTAACTGTCAAACGACTCGGTTCATGAACATATCTAGCGAGTGTTTTTAAGCTACTAAATAAGCTTGTTCGTGAACAAATCTAAAGAGGGTTTTCAAACTATCAAATATTTTTGTTCACCAATATATCTAACGATTAACGAGCGTTTTTGAATTTTAGGGTTTAGCTTGTGAAATATAACTAAATAATATTGATTTAATAAATGATTATAATTTATTTTAATTAATATATTCCATAACATTAAATTAATTTTAAAATTTATTAAGTAATGTCTATTATATCATGCTATAATAATAAATATTTATATTAGATATGTTCTTTATTTTTTATATTAAAACATTAATCATATTTTAAAAAAAGTTTATTTCATGATCATTGTATCAAACAAAAATCAAGCTTCTTATCAAGTTTTATGTGGAGTTTGTTCATGAGTTTTAAATGATATTATTCATGAGCATAATAATTCTTTTTTTTTGAATAAATTAAATCATTCTAAAACAATCAAAATAGTTTTAAAATATTTTAAATAATTTTTTAAAAATAATTATCAGGTTGATCATCATCATCTTGTTAGTTGTTGCCATCCTCATTTTATAATCAATTTATTAATATTAAAAATTAAAATAATAAATTTTAAAATATTAATATTTTTGTTTTATAAAATAAAAAATAAAAAATCATAAAAATAGTCTAGTATATTTTATAATAGAATAAATTTTAAATTTACCTTGGACACTAATTTTAATGTAAATACAATAATTAATTTTTACATAAATTCGGCCAGATATTTATTTAAAAAAAATACCAAACGAGGGCATTCTGAATAAAAAAAAGAATTACATTTCTAAGGCACATTAATGGGGGTGGCGGGGTCCACATCTGGAACCATTATTGGGTGCGGCGACGACGCACGTGGGAAGCTGGGAACTCGAGTGCTGGTGCGAGTCCAACACTGCATCTGCATCAGTCCTTCAGCTTTTTGAGCCCGATACGTTCCATCGAAGACCGTGGGCTTTTTTGGAATTTCGACGGACAGAGAGAAACTGATTAGCTTCCTTCGTAAGAGATAGAGAGAGAGAGAGAGAAATAAATAAATAATATATAATTGGGAGAGAGCGGTTGGCATAGTTGTACGTCGTCAGTGGCTAACTGTCATCATTAAAGCTAGAGATTATAGGAACTAATCATTCTTACGTGTCAGAGTTTTATTGATTGTTCAATGACAGATATTTTAGTTAATGCGGACTGTTACTGTAAGTGGATTACAGGCTGCTATTTTATTCAGAACTCTTCTCTATAATATTAATACCATGCTAATTAATTAATTAAAAACATGAGAAAAGATAATTGGATCACTGTTTGATTGAAAAATATAATTTTGAAAAAGGATTAATTTTCTTTGGGAATATTAAATTTTTGAATTTTGAAATGGAACACGTCATTATGAACAATATATCGCTTTGAAAGACGAACATATCGTTCCCTAATGGGTTCAGATTTCAGAATTTTGAATTTATCCGGATTATCATAGTCAGACTCAAAGAGAGACAACATATGATCTCAAAAGATCAAAATGAAGTCCAATCGATTGTTTGACTATAATAATTTGGATAAGAGATCGTTAATCTCATAATCAAAATCACAATAGAAATTGATATATCTCTCCAAAGAAAGAAGCTATCAATCGCTATTGATCATTTTAAAGTAGAGTTAACGATCATTCAATTTTGATTTTCCCAAAGATAATTAATCAAAGGTTTTGAAAAAATAATTTTTGAAAATCAATTCTGGGTTTCTAAATCTTCAACGAGCGCAAGCCCTCGTAGTTAATTACATCGTAGGAAAATTGAAATTTTTCCTACAAACACTCTCGATTAAAATAGCGGTAGAAATTTTATTTAGATTTTCAAAGATCGATATCGAAGAAGAAAAATGGTAGGAATTTTCAAATGGGATTGGTTCAATGTTGAGCACTTATTTCTAGAGTCAAATAAAGAAGGGTATGAGGTGTTTTGATATTCTGAATTACTTCAGAAACACCCCAGCCTATCCTAAGTGTTAGGCTCGAATTTGATTGAAAGAGATATTTAATTTGAGTGATCCATTTTATTAGAAAATTGGGACTCAATTCCCGGAGGGTGAGGTCTTATGGCCCAAGCCAGCCTGCTAAACCACATAAGCGCTTTAAAATTATGAGTCCGGTCAATTTATGTAGAGTGATAGGGATGTTGTTTAAGAAAAGTTTTTGAGAACGGGGCCGACATCTAGAGCGGATCCTAATTGGCCCCTTTGTCTTATGTTGGGTTTGTTGATGCTTAAGCTAAAAAATGCAATTAAAAGTTTTAGAAATTTAATTTGTTATTAATTTAATACATGCTAATCGACTCAATTAAATATTTGAATTTGAATGAAAGTTATGAAATGAGAACTCTCGGCGGTCCCGGGCTTACTTCTTAAATCGTTGGAGTTTCTATGTGAGCTTAAATATTTTAATTTTGTTTAAGTAGAAATAGTTTTGAATGAGTCCTTAAGAGCCTACGATCGGATTCCGGGTCAAATCAAAATCGGCATGCATGTAAAAAGACTAGAAAAACAGGTAGTTCTACTACACAATCAATTAAATAAAGCAATCAAATTAAATATATCAAATTGAATGTCCATATGGCAAGTGCCACT